TATTATCATGCTTTAGACTTTTCTCATGATATAAAATAAATACGAAATAAGGTGTTGTAGAGTTTTCGTACATAGTCGTCCAAGCATTAGTCTTCTATAGTTTCTTCAAGCTCCACCTGATTAGATGAAAAGAGAGATATGTGTGTAGTTGGAATGCTCAGTGCTCAATGTGATAATATTCGCCAATTTCTCGCATGATTCCATTTGTCTGTCTACAAGAGTACTAACCAGATAGTTTAGCGACACCCCACTAGCCCTACTGACAGCCTTTAGTACCTTTCGCAGTGTGGTAAAGCCCTTGTTAGGTAGACCAGGAAAGATTGAAACGGAGCAATAAAGAACAATAGATAGAATACAAGAATTAACAAACTTAGAGGGTGAAGACTAAGTGGTACCAAAATGTCTTCACTTCCTTTCCAACCTATATATGAGACGTGTTTGGGGCGTATTCTTTAGGCTTATAGAACCCTTGACGTCGAGGAAGATTCAACCACCTTCATGTTTTCAAAAATAGTTTGTCATCATACTAAATCCTCATCGGTAAATAAATTATTTTGATAAAAGGAAAGGCGTACTGTTATCATCCTTCTTTAAATCATTCATCACCATTGTTATTTTGACCTTCAATGTAGCCTTTTAACTTGACCTATGTTTGTTCTCTTACGCCCTAAAGCATTTCAGTGTTCATATAGATTTTTTTGATAAGTTTGCATAATCAGATTGTTCGAAATTTGTCGCTCAAAACACTACATGATTTATATGAGAATGATGTTTGAACTGTTTGCAACAGTCATGAGCCTATACTGAGACATCTTGAGGCGGTTGGTATTACAGTGGGGTAAGAAATTCCACCTTTGTGTTGAGTATTAATCACCAAGTTTAGTGTCAAATATTATGTGCGTCGGTGCACAGCAGCTAGGATTCTCGCCAACCATGCACATGGTCCGAGGTTTGATCCCCTGCCGACGCACATCTGATATCTATGGTCGGCCTGCAAAACTTGAGCTACCGATATCCATGCTGAAAATTCCATACTTGTACCAAAAATACAGTGTGGAATCAAGCTGTAATCAGAAATATAAATAAATAAATATCTGAATATTTTCTTTCCTTAACTTCATTTGTTACAACCAAATGGACTTCTGAAGACTACCGTTTTTTAGGCGCTGCATGGCAATGATGAGGAAGTGGAACCTTCCGTCACTTTCATTTTCCATAGTAAACTCAATATTGGTATGTGCATCAGTGAAAACCTAAGTAAGTGTGAAGTATGACGTTCATTGTTGGACACTATGAATGTGTCATCAACATATCGACAGTAAGAAAAGGCACAAACAGCGAAGAAAATTTTCTTTTCGACGATTCATTTTCATGAGCTGCACAATCGTAATTATAATTAAACACATAAGTTTGTGTTTTCTTATGACTCAATATGGGAATATTTAGTTCATATTGACAGTAGGAAGTTGTTTCGCCGACTGTATGCTTCACTTCTGTTCTTTCAAGGTTGGACATGAATATAACTGCTTAAACAGGGCTAAATGAACTGCCCATAGCCACACCATCCATTTGGCGGTAATGAGTGTTGTCAAATTGGAATTGCACATCCAAGATACACATAAGCAGTAGGCGTTGGAATTCTGATTCTGGGAGTAGATCGGAATGCTGACAAATGATCTCAATAGTTTCGTTGATTGGAATCATTGTGAACAAGGATGTTGCATCAGATGACACCACGAACTTGTTTAAAACATTCATGGGGTTCATACTTTCAGAGAAATGAAATGATTCATTCATGGTATGCACGGGTTGTCGTTGACGAATAGGTTCCAACTTCTCCGCAAGCTAACGTGCAACTGTATGTTGCGACGAGTTAGCTCTCAGGGAGATTTGTTTTTTGTTTATCTTTGGAGGGTCATACATATGTGTCTTTGGCCTGCCAGCAGCTACGAGAAGGCAACGAAATAAAGATAGTACCACTTTATTCTGCAAAAATTGTAGTTCTTGCTTTGTTCAAATTCATTAAGGGGAATAAATGTAAGAAACGTCACTATTGTAATCAGATTTTTGAGGAGGAATTTTCCAGGCGGTTACTCTGCTACACATTTCTTTTTAGAGCGCAGTAGATATGCAAATCGATTATTTCAAATGTACTGCGCAAACGCACTACTTTTTATTTAGGGGGGAGGGAGAGCTGAATTCCTCTTGTAAAAACGCTATTTAAACCCAGTAAATAGATTTACTGCTTCAAAGGGAAGTTTCTTCCCCTAATGTTGCAATTATAGTTAAATTGGTAACAATCTTTCTAGATTAATTTTATCGTAGATTGTCTACAGTTATGCAGCACTATTTACTGATAGCATTCGGAGCATAAAATATTAATTAAATTTATATCGAAGCAGTCACATAACTTGCATATTTTCATTACGTAGTTACTCCCTTAATTTTATCAGTAGCAAGCTTTCGACACTTGCAATTCACTTATAATTCTTGTTGTATTTTATGTAACCTACATTTCTGATGCTACCTAATGAAACTTACTATAATTACCTACTTCAATACCGTCAGAGCTAAAGTAAAGAAGATAAGGTGTCTGGATGATGTACGTTGAACAGAAATTTTGGATTTTAGGATAGGAGAGGATTTCTCTAATTTTTTGACTAACTTTAGGAACATATAAACTTCAACAGAGCTTGGCAGTCATAGGAAACAACTGGAAAAGAATATGCAGTAATATGTACAGAATCACGCCACATGTCAAGTAATCCACAAGGGAATGTTCACCAAAGTTTACAAATTGAAAAGAAGAGTAACGTGAGGCCGTCAGACATTACCAACGATATTCATGGTTATGGTGGACAGTATCATGAGAAAGAACCTAGGAAGCAAGAAGATGGACACATGTTGGATGAACAAAAACAGCGTGGAAGATCTGGACTTGGCGGATGATTCGTACCTAATGTGGGACAAACTTGAATATATACAAGAGACAATTAGTAAGGTATCAGAAATAACACCGAAGGCTAAATTTCAACTGAAAACAAAGAAGACAGAAGTGGTGAAGAAATCAATCTACCAGCACCAAAAACAACGACCAAAAATCACTATCAGCTGAAGAAATCTTGACAGAGTCATCTCTTATACGTACCTGATTAGGCAACATCATTCCAAATACAGTCACACAGGTAGAGACTTTAGAGTCAATCATGATTGGAAAACCGACGAGACGTTTATTACTTTTAAATATGTCTGGAAATCTTTGGTACTCAGCACAGCTGTTATTAAGTTAGTGCTTCTACATGGTTCAGAGAGTTCACACACGCGTTACAAAAAGCACTCTTAAAAGGTGCATGTGGACGTTTATCAAGAGCCACCCTCCCTTACTAATGAACATCAAATGAACAAATTAAAATGATGAGCAGTCAACAGGTGACACTGGCAGAGAAACATTGAAGGACATATGACTCCAAAAATATGCTGAAGAAAACGTAGGCAAATCGTATATATTTTGAGGAGATATTCAGGTGGCGTCACATGCCAGGCTATCTGTAGAACCCTAATAGGAAGCAACAGGTCGGAAGTGGGCTTATCGATAGCATGAGGGAGACTATGCTTAGGAGAAAGAAAGGTTGTGGGCAGTATTGAAGCCAACTAAAGAAGACTGTATAGAGCAGAATGCAATGACAATCTGCAGCTGAAGCCCTTTATTCTTCTCTGAATCGAAGAAGGGTTGATATGCGGCCATCGTAACACTTCTACTTTTCTCTATGAAAATGCGGTTAACTTCGAAACGAAAGAAACCACCTCAATGCGTTCATTCCGTCTAAGTTTATTTAAGACTTAGCTGTAAGAGAATTTACAATATTTGTCCATAATGCCTCAAGTCCATGTAAGGTTGGTTTCTTTTGGCAACCAAATTATTATATAACTGACTACTCCGACTGTTATTCTGTATTTTGATGTCATCTGTGAAAAATAGATGAGGAAAACCTAATTCGTTATACTGTAAATGCAATTACATGTATTTATATCTGAAATACAAACGTCACCTCATCCTACCTTGTAACTAACCTTATATACTAAAGTGAAATATACACTGAAATCCTTTTTGTTCATGCTTACCGAATATTGACTAATCATTATATTCGAAACTTTTTGAAGTTTGCGTAAATGCTCTTCTATTTCACACTTTGTTGTAGTATATCTTTGATTCGCTTAGCCTAATCAAATTCACCTCATATCTCTTGCATTTAGAAGCATATAAAAATGAGAAAGTTAGTTTATTAAAGACTTACCATATCATTTTATTGGCTTGCATTAGTGTCATTTAATATCAGTGTTTTCTACCTTAGATCACGAACTAACTAATCGCACGAAGCTATTTTAGCTACTCTAAATATAATTATATGACTAATCCCTACAGGTTCGGAGTGAAAAATAGAGCTTCAAGAGTACATTGGCATTTTATACCGTTTTCTGTGGTGTTCTTTAGGTGACTCCGCAATCGCCGGTAACCTGGCATCTCCTACTTTTACTTATCACCCTAGGACTCATGCCCAACCTGTGATTCCTTGTCCATGTTCCTTTTGGGGGCCCGGCCATATGATGTCAGTCAAAGATCCCCTCAAATTCATCTTAATCCATCTCCATTTAATTGGGTTGTTTGATTTCAGTCACTGAAGGTTTTTGCCTAGTGATCAAGATGATAGCTGAAATTAAAACTTCGTCAACAGCTAGATCAAACACATCAGTCCGAAGAAGAAGAAGAACAGTGATAACCCAAATGACGATAAGTCCGAATTTTCTTGTTACTTAAAGTTTGATTCTATCTTTTACCACATACTGTACTACGCAAATTTTAGCTCATCAGTCTGAGTCTTATCTGGGCTATTTCACTAAATGATAATTACAAGGAGAAGCTCTTAGTTAAAAGTAATAATATTTCAGAAACTAACAGTAATTAAAATTCAAAATGAACTACTTGTGTAATACATGCACAGTTATTCAAGTTCTTCTTGTTCACCAAATAATAGGTTTTGAACTAAATCGATTACAAAGGCTCCTTGTTGTTGTGTAGGCTTGATATCTTGTATAGCACCGTCTGGTAGCGTATCTGAACTGACATCAAAGTTGGCTTTCGGATTGTTTATGACTAAATTTATTAAGCAAAGAAAAATTAGTTAGTGGTGCAAAAAATAATTTTTTATGCATTTAAATAAAATGTTGAATAATTAAATTATTTTCATACAGTCCCGATGAAGTAAAAATAAGAGAGATTGATAGATTTTGTCATCCTTGGAAGTGAGTTTCTTTCTGGGAGAATAAAACTACACAAGGTATTTTAGATTACATGCAATAAGTTCAACCGATACTTCTAAGTGAAACAAATCCCTGAAAGAGTTGACAGAACCTCAAAACGTTACACCGCAATTTTAAACAGACTGTGATAATACGAGTAGGTAGTCATTTTTCAAGATAGATTATCATTATTATTAACATGCATGCATCCGGTGGGTGCGTACTGATGAAGAGTCCCAAACTTTGATGAAACAGCTGTCCAGTACTCCCAGGTTTTCAAATGGTTCTCTAACTAATGTTAGCTCATGATGAAATCCTGTATACCAATCAAATCCCTACAAACCAACACTTGAATAACATGCATTCCTTACGCTTCATGCTTAACACAGGGTTTCAAACACAAAACCATTTTTCAAGAGGTTATCTGCCGTAACTTTCAACTGGTTCCATGGCTGCTAGGAAGCTTTCGTTTCCTCGTTGCATGATTTCTTCCATGTTAGCCTGGCACAACACCTGTGCTACTATTGGGTTTCTATTTGTGAGTTTGGTGTGTGGTGTCATTCGAATGTCTCCGCAGACTATATCCAATCCATTTCTAATTTATGAAAGGTTTAATGCTTAAATGCATCTATTCGCTGCACACTCTTCTCCTTTGTTACTTGACAAAAATATAAGGAACATGGATAAAGACAGTTCAGTGGGTTACAGTTATGATATCTACAGATAAGAATGTACCAGAAAGCCCTTACCTGGAGTCTCTACATCAGTAGCGCCGATAGCAGCAATGCAGATGCATATGCAAATAGAAAATATCTACATTTTGTAATTTCAGTATCTTAGTGATGTATATTTTCACTCACCTTAGTTATGGACATTATTTGTGAAATTATCCTGCAGTATACCTAATCTCTGACAATGCCATTGTATTTATAAGTTTCTTAAAGTCATTTTGAGTGATATGTTATTCACTCATATAGACATATATCTGCCACTATCTACTGATATACTTTGGTTAAGCAGTTGGTTTAAACCTAACTGTTTTTATTGACTGTTGAAGATATGACGTTTAAATGACAAAATAATCTTATGTCCTTCTAAGACGTTACTGAACACAGTTGTTAGAACTAGTATGCAGACAGAAATGTGACATTACGTCAGTGACAATAATAATAATAACTGTCAGACTATTTAAATGTCAACTGACATAATACTACTGATGACATACCAATAAGTAATCAATTCAGTCATTTGAATAAGGCATTAAGAAGACAAATTTGCGAGATGATAGCATCTCATAAAGACAACGTCTGTACCAAAGAAAGCTATCTTCATTAACCTACCATTCAAGGTCAACCAGATTATGCAGTTGACAGCTAATTCAAAGACTTCGGTCAGCCATCAATCACACATTCTACGCCACATCTCTTTTTCTCACTTGCCGAACATTTTTGATCCCTGTAACTACGATCAAAGGACGAAGTTCTGTGGACTCTACTTCAAACTGTATCAACAAGTTGACATGCAGCTGAGGTGACGCCTATATAGGTAGAACCAACAGAATGTTCCAATGTCGTCGAAAAGAACATGTTCCGAAATGGTTACTAAGCCCTATAGAAAATCCCAATGCGATTAATCTGATTAGAAATTCAGCATCATCCATTGCAAAACACCTATTAATGTCAGGTCACAAAATCAATATTAATGACTGTTTCACAGTTATTTCACATAACTCTAATCTAAGGTTATTGAAGGTGGTGGAAGCACTTTGGATTAATCACATACAGCCTAAGCTGTGTGTACAAAAATCAATAGACTTCAATCTTCCCTTACCCTGGACTACATGACCTATCTAAATATGATTGGTCACTAGTATACACTTTTAACTGAGTAGTTTTCATGAACTTTATTTTATCATTGCTAACCATGTTAGTTGTAAAACGGTCGTAAAGAAACTAAGAAATGATGGCATCATCTCGCGAAATTTGTCTTCTAAATGCCTTATTCAAATTTATCAATGGGACTAATTGTTTTGATTCAGTCATTGTCAAATCTAAGTGAATTTTCAGAATTTGTTTTGTAAATTCCGTAAATATGTGTACACTGGGTAATAAACACCGCCAAGGAAAGGAAATCTCTCACGTTGTATTTTGATAATAAATTTGTAGACACTGCTATCCTCGTGTGAATTGTATATGATATTGTGTTGTTGTCTTTCTGAAAATATAACTTTAACCCATTGTATTTTGACAAAAGATTGAATCCTATACGTTTCTCGACTGAAATCATCCAATTAAATATAAACAGTGGATATGCGATGTTCGGGACTTCAGTCTCTTCAACTATTATTACATTACTTTGCCCCTGGGTTCCTAGTGAAAAATAGGGCTTCAACAAAACATCTTTATTTTGTGTTATTTACCTGTTCTCACGATTGTCATTAGTCTCTCGTCTTCTCCTCGCTCGATCTCCTATATATCACCCTTTGATGCATGACCAACTTGTCGTTTCGACTTTGTCTTTCGCTTGAGCTCTGGAATGGTGCGCGATACCACTCAATGGTCTTCTCAGCGTTTTTCTGCTTCAACTCCACTTCCTTCAGTACATCTCTGAAGCAATAAGTTCCTGGCTGCTTCGTTCCCAGAGTTTTTTCTTTGCTAGTTCTTTATGGCCATTTGATCTTCAGTATGAAGCCTGCCAATGGGGCAACTGTTGACAAAAGTGTGCACTGGTAAGCTAGAACTCAATTACGCGGTGCGGAGCTATGAGCCATACTTACGCTGAGTGATAGCTAGTGATACTACCCCTCTTCTTATGATGAAACAGGCAGGGCGAGATTTGAACCTTGGAAAAGTTGGCGGAGGTTTTAACCCAATCGGTCTCTATGTCACTTTAGTCAACAAGTATTCAAAGAGTAACAAAGAGTAACAATAATTTCATAATACCTGTTGTAAGACTGAAAACATCTTTTAGTGAAGAGACTCCAAGATGTTTACCTTCAAGGTGTACAATTGTGAATACATATGGTTTTTAAAAACTAAATCACATGGGAGAATGTAAGCCAAAGTGTTAATACTTATGATGATAATACGAATTAAGAAAAACCACTTTTTATAGTCTACCAAGTGTACACAAACTGAGGCTTCCTCTTCATACAGTTTTAAATATGTATAAGGCAAAATACAATACGGGCTTTAAACAAGGAAATCTGGAAATATTGGATTACTAATGTTTTTATCTATCACTCTTAAAGTTGATGACAGATTTCCGTTATCCATGGATGCATTCTCAATAAAAACGAAAGTGCTATTTGTTGAAACAGTGGAATACATATGACAAGGATTCATTGAAAGGTAAATGCACTTAGGAATTCACTTGTATAAACTTAAACAACTACTCCTTAAGATGTACAGTGAATGTGCAAGTTGTTTTCAAAAGTTCATACTGCGGATAAGTGTATGGAATCACTACGAGTTCACCACTAAGTCTGACCTTAGGAGACTTCTTCTTCACAAAACGCGAAAACAAAATAGTTAAAGGATGTCATCAATACAATGGATAGGTGCTGGTATTGCGTCGATAATGCATTTATCTTAGCTAGTGAGAATGTAAACACAAAACAGATGTCGATGAAATTTAATATCATCTACCCTTCGATTACTTTTACGTGTGAAGACAAGCAGAGCAATGTACCGTTTTTTCTGGACGCCTAAGTAGGTGAGAAGATAGGTCATTTGGGAGGATCTTGTGTAAGTAAAGCATATGTGCAGGGTGATTTTAGCACTCCTTTAGTTATTTGCCAGCTAAATATAAAAGAAATCTTGTAAACCATTTCACTGGCAGAGCAAGAAAAACCTGTTAAAAAACAATTTGAGTGTATTCATGATTCTTTGACAGAGATGGTCTATTCCAGTAGTTTCCTAAAGAAACATGAAGAGACTTGGTAGGACTCCTGAGACAGTGACAGTACGGAAGAAACCAATATTTATTAAGTAACAATTTAACAGGGACTTTCCAGGTGAGATTCTATCTCACAGACCAGCCAGAAGTGTACGGAGAACACTTTACTCAGCAAACCTATTTCGATCACTTTCTATTCGGCGAATGATTGGAACTCAAACGAAGGATAAGTTAGATATTTTTGCCACATCTGTACACTTACCAGTTAAACTGCTCCTGTGGAAATAGTAATGTTAGGCGTAATAGCAGACAGATAAACCAGCGTGTTACTGAGCATCTCCCATCGTGTTTTCGCAAAAGATAAACAAAAACCATCTGAAGCTCTGTTTTATCACAGTCAGTTGATAGTGGTCATATAGTGGAGAAAAGTAAAGCGTTCAAATTGATTCATCACATCCGAATTAATGTTTTCAACGGATCCCATATTCGCCTACCACATATCGCTGTGACGACAAGCATCTGAACTATTAAATGTAAACTAGTCATTCAGAATAAGTTCTTAAAGCGATTATGTATCCTTTGGTCAATAAGGACCTAGCCAACTGACGATATCACCACCACTCCTTATTTGTGTATAACTCTAATCCCTTTTTTAACAAACACTAATCTCATTACATCTCCATCAGAACACAATTTATTTACTTCTGTTACAATCTAGCATTACTTAATCAGACTATTTATTTTTCTAAGCCTCTGGCAACTATGTCTGCCTGAACACTTATTTGCTGAATCACGTTGCTTTTCCTTATTCTTCTTGGTTTCAAGAGTTGGTTTGTAACGATTAGATTTGTTTTTACGAGTTTGACCACGGATTGATATCAGTTAGAGAACCATTGAAAGACAGCAAGGAGTATTGGACAGCCAGCTGTTTCATTCCAGTTTAGGAATCATCAGCAATACGCATCGCTGAGGTTGGAACCCAGGACCTTTCGGTTATAAGGAAAGCTAGTTCGTATACCATTCAGCCACTGGGACCCGATTCAGTGGCAAATGAATTCTAACTTCTACAGATTCGTGATTTAGCAGGACCACCAACCAATATCATCAGTGGGGCATCCATCCTCACACTTGGCTGGATGGACCACACTGGTCCTTGTATCCGGACCGTCCTGAGCACGAGCCCCATGGGATGCGTACTGTCGATGAATCTTAAACAAGGATGAAACAGCTATTCTTCTCATCACAAATCGCTCCACCTTTTCATCTATTTTATCGATAATCTGACTATTCCCAAACTTATGTATATTACAGTTAAACCTGATGAGATCTGACAAGAAACAAACTTAATTGTGTTGTTCTTGATTTGACAAAATTACCGTCAATAAAAATCCCAGTTCAACATTAGGCGCTAAAACAGATTATGTAACACGTAAAATAGCTCCTAGTATACATATATCTCAGATAAAAGGACTAGTACCAAAAATAAAAGCATCACTCACCAAGGTAAATTGCTTATTAAGATATAATCTCACTTTTCAAGAGATATATGGAATTGTTTTAAATACAAGACGAATGAATTATTACCAGGAAGTCTTCAAAAATGAAAATAATAATGATCGCATTTATGAATAGTACTCAAACTAAATAAAAAGGAGGAAAATCCACAAATCCGGTTCACAAGTCCGTATTATTTTAGACATGACGAGTTCACAATATCATTATCTTACCAAGTGTAGAGTAGACTAGCTGGGAAGGCAAGGATGTAGCTATTCGTTGTATGATACGTTTGAATTCACTAATTGCACTGATAACATTAATGTTACTCGAGAAAACTATGTTGCCACTTTGTTTAAGCTTTTCTTTTACTTACTTTGCGTTTAGTAGAAATGTATGTTTCGTTTGTAATTACATCGACTTACTACAGATGAATACGGGAATGCCTACTACATTAATCTTGAAACAGCTTACACTTTGGTCTACACAGAATATCCAGTTTCTACATTATTAACGAAATTTACAGAGATTTAGGTGGTCTGTTTGTTAGCTGATTTCTTTCAGGCAAGTATGGTGGACAGTGTTCTTGCATCTGCTATCATGGGAATAAGATACATGGATGGCATGTTTATCGTATGTGGTGAGAACTGTGATTTGAGTGACACCATGAAGCCATTCAATGACGGTTATCCTGCTGACCGGTTTATGTTAGAAAAATAAATGAATGTCTCATCCTATAAGCGAAATAGAAGCCTTACGTACTTCTTATGTATGTAGAGGTCTAGATTAAATTCATATATACCAAACGCCCCCACTATCTCTAGATGATTGAAACTAAGAAAACGTGACAGTTTGACATGAATTCGATAGATGGTATTAAAGTTATTTTCATGTTTAGAAAAAATAGCAGATTGAGCGAAGAAATATATTCCTCTTCAATTAGTTCTTCATCATCTTTCGTTTCCAAGTGCGTCCAAAGACAAGAACACAAAGATGTCATGCAATCAATCAGATTGACTCTTTGAAATCATATGTTACTGAGTTGACGTCGAATATTGCGGAGAGACTATATGCTGTAGACGAACTTTGGGACCATCTGAAGCAGCCATTCTAGCAGTATATGAAGCGAACCCAGCTTATTCAAAGTTTTGACAATCAGATGGCAGAAGCACGTTTCGCGCTTACTTCAGAGTGGTATGTCCAGAAGTTTTTCATTGTGGTCCTTGATATGGTGGATTTAAAAATCATGTCCACGTCTTAAATTTTGTGATTACAATATAAAACTCAATAAAATGAACACACAAGTTCAATTTAAAAACCTTTATGCTCAGAATGGAGAATTAATGCCTGCATAAGATTTGGAGGCTAACATATTTATGGCAACTTTGGCCGATTGTTAATACGAATGCATACATAATATAGGTAATAAGAAGAGTATTTTATCCAAAGGCATCAAGAGGCTTGCTTGAAACTGAAAGCAAATGAGAATACAGTAATCTTCAGATATGACCAAGGTTCAGCAATCGTTATCACGGATCAGTCTGATTATCTTAGTGAAATGCAGACTTTATTAAGTGATGCACACAAATTTCAGAAAACATCAACTAGCAGATATGCAAACAACAGGACTGAGAGATGGTTGTCAGAGTCCTTATTCATCAATGTACCTTTCACGGGAGCAGTTGATTACATAGGTAATGAATTGATAAAGTAAGTGATAGAGATTGAAATTCCTGTTTCTTCCAAAAAGGAACTTCTTCTTAAGTATGCAGTGAACACAAATATACTGTTCAACAAGGAAATGTATAGACAATCAAACGGTGTTGCCATCGGATTACCACTAGGCCCAATCCCAGGAGAATTTTTCCTGGAGAAACTAGAGAATGGTACACTTAAAGATGTAATAAGTAATCTTGATTTCTACTGCCAATATGTTGATGATACATTCGTAGTTGTTCAGAAAGAAAGTGAGGCTGAGAACATATTGGATAAATTCAATAGTGCAAATCCTAGCATAAGCTTCACTAAAGAAGAAGACGAAACTAACTCTATTTCCTTTTTGGATGTCCTAATGACTAAACGAACATACGCAACAATATTTAGGCGTTTGCATTGAAAACCTTTATCCAGTGGACAGTATGCTGAGCTTCGTACCTATTCAATACAAATAAAATCTGGTGAGGTGTCTAGTTCACCGGGCTAGAGTTATCTATTCAAATGAGACACTGAACGAAGAACTCAGCAATATTCCCGACTGAATAAACACGTATTAAGAAAGTAAAAAGTCGAAAGTTCCGACCGTTTCCAAAAAGTCATACTTCCTAAGATTACAATTCACGGGTGATATCAATTGCAAGATCTTCTCACAACATCTGAGAAGGGTCTTCAAGAGGGCTTTCAACGCAGTTAAGCTTTGCTGTTAATTCACTAGCCAACCAATACTTAGTTCGAGAAATAAAGACAAACTGCCCTGTTTCCTCTCTTCCATGTGCATTTACCAGTTTAACTGCCCTTTCGGAGCTGGTTACATAGGGTGTCTGTCTGGATTCAACATAGAACTTGGCACCGAAGTGCAGCAGTTCGAGTCACCACGTTCCAAATAGCACACAAAAGTAGACAAGAAGATGAGTGAAGAGAATCAATAGAGTTTGACAAGTATAAGAGTGAAACAGAATGGGTGATGGTAGAAAGGAATATGAAAGATTACAGAGACTGAATACATCTTCGCTGGCCATTGACAACGATTTTGAGCCATGTCACCTATTGTCTCCAGCCATTGATTCCTAGAGTCCCGAGGGCCCCAACCCGGGAGTCTGCATCTCCCTACCTGACTCAGTTTAACTGTCAAGGATTTCATGGATTGATGAGGCCATGTTTTTGTTTGGCCACCACTGGCTCTTTTCCAGTCTGCACCTATATCAGCTAGTAATGCCCGTCGGGGGAATGCGCAACACGTGACCTAGCCATCTCAGTCTATGTAACTTTATAGCCTCGTCGATTGATTTTCCCTCTTTACCCAACACTCTACGCCTAACGTCAGCATTACTTACCTTATTAAACCACCTAACGTGAGACAGAGATCGCAGACATCTATGATCGAAAGCAGTCAACCTTTTCACATAGGGTGTACGATCAGGCAATTTGACTATCAAATTTCTGAACACCTCCCATCTTGGTTTGGCAAGGGTATATGCAGTCCAGTACTAGCTCATCTCGCCGATACTGGAAATCACATCAACTCTAACAAAGATTTGAAAGTTATTCATCATAGATCATCTAACCTGTCACATGATCTACGAGTCAGTCGGAATTCATTTAAACATGACGAATCTGTGTGTTCAAAAGAAATTTTTACAGCCCCCTTCTTCACCATAGCCGACTGTGTAATATGTATTAGGTTTTTAAGAACAGTTTTTCTCCTCCTTTTGTAATTACCTTTTGACTTTGTTATTTCATACAATGCTAGCTAATTCTATTAACTCGTTTCTATTTTACGTAATTATTCTGGGTCATCCCATTCTGATTAGCCATCAATATTTTAGAAATTTGTTGATCATCTAATACCTTGTTGCTAACGCCTAAGAATCAACTTTTCTTCATTTCTGTAAATAATTTTTACCCCTCCTTCAAAACTTAGATATCTTCTTACTAACATCTACAAGTTAATTGTCTTGGTGACTTTTAGTCTCTTAATTTATGGGTTGCCCACTGGATCGGGTCTACGAGCTCGCTTTGTAACCAGAAGGTCCTGGGTTCGAATCCCGGTAGGTGCGTACTGCTAAAGAGTCCTAAACTAGGACGAAACAGGTGTCCAGTACTCCCAGGTTATCCAATATTTCCCTAACTGATGAAGGCAAATGATGAAATCTTGTAACCAATCAACCAAATCTCTCCAAACCAATACTTGATAGCCTATATATTAGTGTAGACCCGATGATGAGGAACTAATTGAAAAAAAAACTATCTCTTCGCTCAGTCTGTTTATTTTTCTAAATGTCTAAATGGTAATTTGGAAATTTTCACGTTCATTTGAGTGACAGAAGTCAACAAAGTAGTTTAGAATACAGTGTCTCACTCTTTTCTCTTCTCCTTTGTGAAATCGTATTGTAATGTGCTCTCATATCCGTGTGGAAGGCATTGTCTGACTGCTGCGTTTACATCCTGCTCCACAAGAGCAATTAAACTGGTACGTACACACGAAGATGGCCAGACAGAGGAGCTTATCAATGAAACAAAGGAGGAATAACTTTCATTTGGTGTTTTCCTGCTCAAATAATATTTTACTGATTGATCTATATCGGTGGTTTACGAACATAGCTGAAGCCTAATCTCCTCCAAATTCCAGATCCGTAAAGTTAGTTTTCTTTAGAGCCGAGTAAGTGACTGGTATGGTATGTTTACCTTTCTTATTTTTGTCAGCATATCGGCCGGCGTTTACAGCAAGCGTGGCTCCTAGGGATAACGTTTATGCCTCAGCTCAACCGCACCTACAAATACCCTTTATCCTTCAGAAAATTCCTTCCTCAGCGCATAGTCAACCAACTGCAGAATTTAGTCAAGTGTCCGTCCAATGGATTTTCTACGAGATCTGTTATAATGCCATGTGATGAACACATCAAGAAGTGTTTCTTCTACAAATTCTCTCAAAAATTTACATATTTTATCATAATACTACTGATAAGGAACCTGAACCTCCTTAAACATAGGCTCAAAGATGAAATTCATCAATAAACAACTATATGACAAATTCAATCTAGTAGAGTTACAATTAATTCAAGGTTTATATCTAATAAATAAATCACATACATAAATGCTTCCTATTTTAAAAGTCCACTTATCTCCTCTTCATAAATGTAAATATTTTTTTGGCCTTAATGCTATCTGGATTTTGTTATTTTTAGATTTACTGGCTCGCTTTAACGATTACAATAGACTAACCAACCAAATGAATTCACATTGCATCCAACGAATACGGTATAACCAAAAGTTAATTGAATGGAGATTTCCCTTCAAATTAAATCTAAAATTCTTTCAGTTCAAAAATTTCAATGTAACCTGTTATTGTTGTACCATTTCTATTATCCTTTTCGCCCTATTGGCCAGTATACGATCTTCATTTATTCTAAACATTTTAACTAAGCATATACATGTATATATATATATCAATTAGTCGGCCAGATTTTCAGATGGACTAAGCTTTTGTTTTTAATTAAAAATATATGCAAAACATAAATTGAATTGCCGTTGATTCGAAGGAGTGTCTTTGTGATGAAATGTGAACAAGACTGAGCGAAACTCGTAAGCATGTATTTATCACTGTTGTCATAGCACTAATTACATGCAATTGATCACAATCGAATTATAATATCTTTGTTCAAATAGAATCATAAAAGAATTTCGTCGATTTCATAGTTTTTTCACGGAATAGTAAATTAGTATCATTATCCCTTTGAGTTCAGATTACAACATAGAGCTTCGACAACACATCATCATTTCACTCCGTGATCTGAAGTCGTCTTTAACTGACTCCATGATTGCCCATAAGCTTTCGTTCCCTCCTCACACGACCTCCTCCACTTCACCCTCGAATGAGTTCCATTAGAGGGCGCTGTTAATTAAGTCTCTCAGTGATCGTCTCAGAGAATATCCAGTGTATCTCCGATTTCATTGAATACCGTCGGTTGATAGGTTTTCATGTGACTCCATATTAGTTTCATTATAAATTATTTAAATTAATCCCAGCGTGTTAAGAAAATCAAAACAAGATATTGTATTGAAGTGGTTTCAGTATTCGTGATATGCATTTTGATAAAGTATATGTTACTGAATTGGTAAAATCGATTATTGGTCTTAAAGGAACATTTATTTTATGTAATTTTGGCCTTCCATAAAATCCCGCAGCCGTGTTTGTCTTGGGAGCTGTTGAAAACCAAACTGAATTCCCTAGTTTTGGTTTCAATTCTCTAAGTATATTGCATACTTGGGCTTTTACTTTGTTCATAGTACTAGACATTTTGTTTACAATATTCCTTCGAACATCAAAAATATTGATGAATTTAAAAAGAAAGTAATGGATATAATTATTGAAGAAGACGAGATTATGGCAAGTTTTGATGTGGTTTCTTTATTTACCAGTAATCCTATATGTGAGTCACTTGATATTATGAAATATGAACTTGAAAACAATCAAGAAGTATTAACTAATTCCTTATTATCAATAGATGAAGTTATAAAATGTTTAAAACTTTGTTTGGAATCAACATATTTTACATTTAAAGACAAACTATACTGTCAAGCAAATGGAGTTGCAATGGGTTCACCAGCATCTCCAATTGTAACAAACTTATATATGAAAGCCTTAGAAAAGAAAGCATTGACAAGTCTTAGCTGTCATCCTAGAATATGGTACAGATACGTAAATGACACATTTATTGTCATAAAGAAAGCTGAAAAAGAAGGCTTTCTAACAGAAATTAACTTAATCTCAGAATATATTAAGTTTACTAATGAAATGGAATCGGCGGAGGGAACTCTAAACTTTCTTGATTGTCTTGTAAAAAGACAAACTGAGGAGAAACTAAAGTTTACCATATACAGAAAGTCAACACATTCCAATAAGTATTTGAATTTCCAATCAGATCATCCAATAGGAATGAAAGTTTCAGTAGCTTTAAATCTCGTTAACAGAGCTAGAATCATTATGACAGATAATGACGATATGGAAAACGAGATATCCAATATAAAACAGATTTTTACTGGAAATGATTATCCTGAAAAGCTACTAGATAATATTATCAATAGAAAGGAGCATAAAGGAAAACAAAAAGTTGAAAAATCCTGGCTATCGACGATAGCCATTCCATATCGAAAAGACACAGCTGAACAACTTCAAAGACTATTTGCTGCATATAATATTAAAGTCTATGTCAAACCTAATTCTCTAGAGAAAGCGATAGTGCATGTCAAAGATATAGTTCCCAAAATGTCACAAAGTAATTGTGTCTACAAGATAAAGTGTTCAGAATGTGAGGCATGTTATATAGGCTAGAGCAGTAGACAGGTGAAAGTCAGAGTGAATGAACATAGACTTTGAACGAAATGTCCACCTAGAAATGAAACAGAATTAAAAAGTCTAGAAAAAAGATTGGCTATAGCAATGCATGCGATAGACAGCGGACATAAGATTGATTTTGACAATGTCGAAATTCTTGGAAGAGAATTTCATTCACATAAAAGAAAGATTGACTTCGGAAGCCTTGCACATTTTAACCACATCAAATGCAGTGAATAGGAAGGAAGGTATAGACTTATCATCTATATGGCGAACTCTTATGAAGCAAGACAAATGAAAAAATAACAAACACTCTATGAGCCTGCATGACCTTTAAAACATGTAGTGACACGTTTATCACCTATGAACTCACGTATTTTCCATATGACAAATAACATACATACACACACACACGCATACAAATCTAATCTTTACAAATCAACTATGGAAGAGTAAACACAACAACAATTTGACATTATTTTACATGGATACAATTATTATTTGTTTAATTTCACATAGTAACGAAGGTGATAATAATTTTCAACTTGGTATGAAAGTTTGAAGGTAAGAATATAGTTTACAAGGGGCTTAGAGACAAGATTTCATAGGATTAGAAAATAGCTACAACGTATGAAAAAAATTAATATTTCTCCGGTTATCAAATATTAATTTTTTGCATACGTTGTAACTATTTTCTAATCCTATGAAATCTTGTCTCTAAGCCCCTTGTAAACTATATTCTTACCTTCAAACTTTCATACCAAGTTGAAAATTATTATCACCTTTGTTACTATGTGAAATTTGACATTAGTCATTACAAATATATGTGAGGACTGGTTATATACTTCTTTTGGTAAAAAATGTCCATGGACAAATGACCTTCAAATAAACTGACTTCGTTTTATGTAAAAAATTTTGACTATATATTTTGATGATTAATTATAATCCGAATAGATCTGCTGAAGAAGCTGTGGCTTATATATATATATATATATATATAGTCAACAGAAAATACAGGTTTCAAGAGTGAGTGTAATCAGGGTGTGTGAGACAATATGAAAATAAACCAACGAATGGGGCGGTCTAGACTTAAGTTCAAGGTTGAAAATAACAACAATAAGAATGATTGTAAAATAATAACGATGATATGGTGTAAAATTAAAAGCACTATTGGTGAATTAGTGTCAAATAATAATAATGAGTATAATGAAGTGGAATGAACAGGATTTTGTAAATACGATAGCAAGTTAGAAAAGCACTACATAAACCTAAGGTAATAAAACCATAAGAAAGGTCATGAAATCATAAAAGTCGAAAATGAACGTTTGTAAATGAAACAATCATTCTTATTCAAATGAACTGTAGTCAAGATTTGACAGAATAGTTGGAATTATTCATTTCAATATCGCTGAGATTTTACAAATATAATTTTTTACAAATATCTACTTCTCACACGGCGCCCAAATATTTTAGAACTATTCTGTCAAATTATTTAAATTAATCCCAGCGTGTTAAGAAAATCAAAACAAGATTTTTCTGAACGTTTCGCCGTGTAATATATATATATATATATATTCAGAACAAATTATTTAGCGAACAATTGTTTTCACTAAATTCTTCTTCAGGCTCTACAATTATAAATCCATTAATGTAAGCATACAATAGCCAGTAAAGGCGAATTAGAATCATATCAGAAAGTGTATTGTGGAACAAGTATAAGATGGGATGAAACAATAGTCATATAGTTTTTTAATATGCATGGTCAATAACAACATGGGACAGAATGAGATGAAATAATTTAATTTAATGTGTGTATATATATAAATATAGTTAACAGAAAATACAGGTTTCAAGAATGAGTGTAATCAGGGTGTGTGAGGCAATATGAAAATAAACCAACGAATGGGGCGGTCTAGACTTAAGTTCAAGGTTGAAAATAACAACAATAAGAATGATTGTAAAATAATAACGATGATATGGTGTAAAATTAAAATTAAATGTACTATTGGTGAATGATTGTCAAATAATAATAATGAATATAATGAAGTGGAATGAACAGGATTTTGTAAATACGATAGTAAGTTAGAAAAGCACTATTTAAACCTAAGGTAATAAAATCATAAGAAAGGTCATGAAATCATAAAAGTCGAAAATGAACGTTTGTCAATGAAACAGAGGAATAGAAGAAGGAAAAGAAAAGAAAAGAAAATCGCGAAAGGAATTTATAGTGTTAATGGAGGATTTGTTGGCTTTATTGTAGGCCAAGGTAAACATAGAGGTTGAACATACTTCTTCTGTATGCAGAGGGATGGTCTTCTGGTATTAATTGCAACTGCTTCAGCTACTGATAGAAGACGTAGTCGAGCTCCTCTAGATAAATTACTAGGAACGCGGTAAATAACTGAGAACGCTTGGTCAAGTTTTATCGGGTGTCCAGTATCTACCAAGTGGGCTAAGACTGCACTATTTATGCCTTTGGTTACTCCTTTACTCAACCATACAGGTACATGTTCACGTGCGCGCATGGATAAAGCCCTCTGAGTACGGCCAATATAACTAGCTCCACATGAGCAGTTGAATTCGTAGATGCACATTGATGAGGCCATCTTTGGTAATTTATCCTTTACTTGCTGTGTGAGTACTGGTTTAGTTGAGAAGTTTAGTACCAATTTAGCTGCGGGAAATGTTCTATCTATTGCTCTATTGAGTCGACACTTTAGAATGTCAGCTGCAATTTCCCCTTTGTAACTTAACTTAAGATACAAAGGTTTCTTGTCTACGGTATCCACCTTTACCCTGTCTATAGGTATTGACATATACTTTCTTAGGAAGCTCTGTGGATATCCATTCTCTTGCAGTGTGAGTTTTAGTTTATGCATTTCTTCCTTAATGCATTCCTCTGAGCATATTCGTTTTATTCTGTAGCTAAGACACTTAACTAAGTTTCTTTTATGCTGAATCGGTGTGAAACTATGGAAATGGGTGTACTGACCCGTCCAAGTTTTCTTTCTAAATAATTTCCTTTGTAGATATCCATCTGTCTTCATGGTAAGTAGGACGTCTAGGAAAGGTAAACTGTTATTGTCTTCTTCTTCACATGTAAACTGAATAGTTGGGTGAACACTATTAACGGTATTCAGAAGCTCTTGTTTATTAAGATTTCTATTACAAACGATAAACGTATCATCTACGTATCGACAATAATAGTCAAGCCCTTTAATCGTGTCTTTGAGTGGACCATTTTCAAGCTTTGCCAGGAAAATATCCGCTAGCATATATATATATATATATATATATATATATATATATATATATATACATCATTAAATTAAATTACCTCATCTCATTTTGCCCCATGTTCTCATTGACCATGCATATTAAAAAACTATATGACTATTGTTTCATCCCATCTTATATTTGTTCCACAATACACTTTCTGATATGATTCTAATTCGCCTTTAGTGTCTATTGTATGCTTACATTAATGGATTTATAATTGTAGAGCCTAAAGAAGAATTTACTGAAAACAATCGTTCGCTCTAAATATTTTGTTCTGAATAAATTATGGGAATATTCAGAATGTAAATGGTTTGTATTTTACACACACACACACACACCATTTTATTCTGCATATACACATATATTTTCATATTCACTTATCGACGACCATGAACTTTTAGTTTAACATAATCTGATGAAAAGTATACTCTGTTTAAATTGTTTAACAAAATTAGACTAATTTTGAAGGTCTGAGGTCAAATTTTGATCACAGCTCATACAATTTTTATGAGTTGATCACGGATTGATATCAGTTAGAGAGCTATTGAAAACCAGAAAGTACTGGACAGATGGTGTTTCATCCTAGTTTGGGAATCATCGGCAGTACTCACTCACTGGGATTCGAACCCAGGACCTTCCGGTTACAAGGAAAGTTGGCTCGTATACCATTCAGCCACTGGGACCCAATTTAGTGAGTCATGAATTCTAACTTCTACCAATTCGTGATTTAGCGCCACCCCAACCATACAATCACACAATTTTGTTTACTATACCTGCTGATACCTGTTTCGTAACTTATATGACTGGAAAAACAAGAGACGTCTTTTTTACACACAAACCTCTGTTAAGTTAATTTCGATTAATTTCCGTGAAGAAGTAAAGACCAGATTGCCGATAGAAACGTTGGAATTAATCATTTCACTTTAGCTGAGATTCTACGTTTACTCTCTCTTTCTCTCCCTGCGGAGTGATACAAAAACTAAGAATATTTATGTTAATACGTGTCAATGTGTCTGTGGTTCTACGGAAAGATCCTCACTGCGTATGTAAGAGAATTGGGTTCTACTCCTTATCAACTCACTCTTAAATCTTAACCAACCAGTAGTAATTCCGACCACACGGAGAAAATTGAGGGCGGAACTGGTAGCCCTACCCCGTAAAACTTTATAAACTCTAGTTTGAAGCCTTTATATTGTACTTAGTATATAAGGGATGAAAATAAAAGCGAAATCAATGGAAATATTTTTGATGATAGAAGAATTTTTCTCAAATTCATCATATTCAAATATAAAGTGCAACTGTATTGTAAAATTTTCTTTTCAAATATTATGCATCAGATAATTAAACAATACATCAAGTACAGTTAGCCATAAAAAACAACAACACGATATTAAAATTATCAAGTCATCTAATGTTAGGGAAAAACAATAATAGAGCTATTTATCAGCATTACTTAAATGAAATTATTAGTATGAAAGGATAATTACTGTCATCATTAACAATAAAAAATGATGAAGGTCTTTAAGCGGTTGGGTAATGAAAGCAGTGTATAAAGGTAAATAACTGAGAGCACTATAGATATTATATTATTATTCCTTCGGCTTCAGAGTGAAACATAAGGCTTCAACAACACATTTCCAGTTTTGTTGTATCCGATGTCTCATCTCCTTCAAATGGCATGACCTCCTTCATGTCACCCTCTCACCGACAAGTGACTCATCGCTTTCCATTGAGATTACTTTCGAGGGCCTAGCGTGCTGTGTCATTTGACGGTTTTCCCAATGTACACAAAAACCTATCTCCATTTTCTTTCCCATAAACTGGAAGATATGCAAATGAAAAGCAACAAGCTAGCAGAAGAAGAATCAAAGTTAGGATTTCAGGTGAACATAAATAAAACAGAGGTGATGAAGATTCCTGGCCAACATCAACAGCAACAACAACAACAGACAATAGTCAGCCAGCATAAATAGGAGGAACCTGAAAGAAGCAACCTCCTTTACCTACCTACTTGGGAAGCATCGTTTCAGCTACAGGCAGAACTGACGAGGACATCAAAGCCAGAATCGGAATAGCAAGGCGAGCTTTCATTACTCTCAAGTCTATGTGGAGGTCAAAATCACTCAGCATCAAAAATATTATCCAAATTTTCAACTCCAATGTGAAGTCAGTCAGTGCTACTCACTATACGGATCAGAGACTTGGCGAGTCATAAAGAGCATCTCCAACAAACTTCAGACCTTCATTAACAGCTGTCTTCGCTCAATACTCAAGATCAGATGGCTGGCCAGAAAAGATCAGCAACAGGGATCTCTGGAAATGAGCAAACCAACCCAGCATGAACCGATTGTGCAACAAATAGGCAGGAAGAAATGGACATGGATTGGCCATACGCTGAGGAAACCATCAAGTGACATCACTAGACAATCCGTTGCTCGAGTGGAACCCGAAAGGGAAGCGGCGAGTTGGTCGTCGGTGCGACGGTGACATGGAGGAGGTCATGGGAAGAGGAGATGAAAAGATGTGGGCAGACTTGGAGCCAGGTGAAAACTCTAGCAGAGAACCGAACGCAGGGGAGCCGCGCGGCTGAAGCCCGTATGTTCGTCTAAGAATTAAAGGAAATGATAATAATAATAATAATAAATAATTTAGCTACTTCAGACACTAAATCACTTAACTCAATATAGATGAAATACTTCGCTTGCCTAGGACTTCCGACACTAACAGTCTGTATCAGTATACCTTACCTTATCGCTCGTATTTACGTTGTTTCAATCTACACGAATATGACCTATAATGGTTTCACTCGAAGATATTGGAGAAAGTTTACAAACTATGCAATAAATTCTGTCGGAAATCTATGGATTTTCAATAGTTCCCTAATTGAAATTCATCCGTGGTCAAACTTGGAACAAATCACATCCCTACCAACAACCTTTCGAAAATTCACCTGACGCTGATAAATGATAGGCTACAGGATGAGGTTGCCTGGTATTCCAGTGAAAAGTCATGATCACTGCGGTCCTTGTGGTTAATACTGAAGAAAAATACTCGTGGTAGCCCTGGATTCACAAACTGATAGAAGTTAGAATTCATGGGCTGAGAAGTGAGTCAGTTCCCAATACTTCAGTGGTCCACGAGCTTGTCTTGTAATTGGAAAGTGCTGGATTCAAACCCTAATGTCTATTTACTATCGACGGGTCTCAATCTAGAAAAAAATAGCTGTTTTTCAGTACTTCCTAGTTATTAACGGTTCTACACCTGATATTATTCCATGACCAAGCTTGAAACAAATCAGATGCCTGCGAATTAACTGCTGAAAAGCTATTATTGTTACTATTATTATCATAAGCATTGATTTCCGTCTAATCCACAATTAATGAAGAATAGTTACGGCTTCATTTAAGGCAACTCATGCACTGAATAGGTGCTCAGCTCCGTGCGGTTCGAAGCTTCCAGTAGTCTGGCTAAATTTAGTGAGCCTAGAAAATAGACTTCTAAAAACACTTTTGTTCTTTCATCCACCGTGTTGGAGCTGTGTTATAAATGCTATATGGATACTTTTCTATTCTGAATACAGAAAATCATTAAAAAATTTTAATACTAAACTCTACAGCCTTCTAGAATGTAATTTTAAAAATGTTAATTTATAGTAAAGGAAGAATCTCTAAAAGGTTATTTAAAGGTATTTTCTATTCCTTTACAGGTTTATCACACTCAGCAATATAATTTTCATTAGAATGCAATACAATATAACTACTTGGCCATACTTTTTTTCTCCATGGGATCTTTTAATGGGTTGTGGAAAACTGTCGTCAGGAAAATCAGATTCAGTTCTATGCGGTGTTTCCAAAGTCGCTGGAATTGCATCCGCCTACATTCTCCCATTTATAACTATCATGAATCTTGCTGCAAATATAATGACAAGTATTATCTTTTTGTATGCACATAAATCCAGTACACGGCAGACAGTTTATCTTGGATTTTTTGCTATAGTTGATTTATTTTACTGTTTTATTCTAGCCATATTGTATTATATACCATCAAGAGGTATTCCATATGCTTCGAATGCTAGATTTTATTTTTTTATTGACTATCAGTCAGCATTCTCTTGTGTTGCATTCAAGTATGTCTTTTCTTTTGTCTGTACATTTAGAAGTAATATGTTAGTAGTAACTATGCTTGATAAATATCTTTCTATTCAAGTGCCAATTAAATACGGTAAACTGCCGACTAGATATGCTTGGAGATTTATACTGATCACTGTTCTGGTTACCTTTATAATGATTCTACCAGCCTATACACAATTCTACCTAGTCGACTTCAACGGGAAATATGCCTGTTGGTTAAAATCGATGACTTTGAACTGGACAATATATTATGGTTTAGTATCAGAATTTTGTCCTATACAAATACTTATTAATAGTATACTCAGTGTAATGTTAATTATCAAAGTGTATTTATGGCTTCAAAGACGACGTCATATGATTCTTGAGGTGACAAATGAAAACTCTAAAGAACTCTCTGCATGTATTCTTATCTTATTTGTTGCATCACTGAATATAGTCTCATCATTACCTGGAGTTGTTTCCTACTTTCTAAGTGCATTCAGTGTTTTTGCAGAAGATGTAGTGACTATACTGTATAATTTATTTACAGCTTTAGCATTAAGAGATATTTTTTGGTGTTTAATGCCATTACAAGCTGTATTCAATACAATTGTATATCTGTGTCGATTGAAGTACTATCGACACTTATTCATTAGCATTTTGAAGTATAAAAATATTCGTGCTGTCACATCAGATACATCTGAATAGGCTATACATTTGCTTCATACTGAATGAATGGTATGCCATATCCACTGGACTACGGCTGATAAGCCGTCTGAAAAGATAAACATTTATTCATAAAAATTTACTGTTATAAAGTTTTTTAATAATATATCAATGTTAAAAATTACTGTTTTCATTTCTAAGATTTTACTCTGTGTAATTACTATATCTTTATGTGCAGTATTCTCTGTTATGCTAATGGTCCCATGAAAAATGTCATCAAATGAGCAGAGGTAACCGCATAAAGCGTATTAATTCTTTTTTTTATAAAATTTTGCCAACTTTTACCATTATGTGTATTTACTAATTATTCAGTCTGTATACCCTTATTTTTCAATGTTTTGATAATCTTTTTTAATCCCTTCACCCTCATAGTGGAACATGGGGCTTCAAGCTACAGGCTTGAAGTTTTGGTAGCATTGGTGTTTATTTCACAGCATGGGTTTCCTAGCCTCACTCTCAACCTTCCCTCTTTATCAGTCTTATTACTAGTTTAACGAGGTATAGATATGCGTCGGATAAGGATCGAGCACTGGAACACATTCTTGGTCGGAGAGCATTCTACCTCTGTACCGCTGACGCAATTTCGACAACCTTTATAAAAAAAATCCATTCTGATGGGAAACAGTTTTTTAAGAAGTATACGTAAATGCCTGTGTTTAAACATGTCTTTGAATTCTTTCAAACGGTTATTTTTGCCTATTTTTAAATTATACATTGTATAAAGTGCATAAATATATCAGTATTGATGTACTTTGAGTTTTTGAAGCAAAAATCTCTTCAGGTGAGTAAAATTGATTATTGTACATGAGAATGCAATTAAAAGGGATTGGTTGTAATTTTGATGATTTGTTACAATACTATGACAACATTGCCATATGCACGGTGCCTAGCTGCTCAATTGATTAGTATACTGTCTGACCTAAAATTACTGAAAGCAAAAAGGTGCAATAAATTAAATATCTCCATACGGTAATCAGAACAAGATGTCTTTTGAGGAAACAACTGTTTTTTAACTTGTTATTCAGGCTCCACAGTTGTAAATCGATTATTATTAGAATAGAAGCAAACGAAAATTATATCAGAAACTGTATCGTAGTACATTCATAATATGGAATAATGGTCCGTTAGTTAACGATGTCATTCAGAGAATGAGATAAAATGTAAACAATGCTGGTTTGCAGAAATTTGATTGGTAACTAATTTAATCACGAGTTTACCTCATTTGGAAAACCATTTCACCTGATGCTCATAAATGACTTGCTCTATATGAGAGGGGTTATCTGCAGTTCTAGGAAGAAATTTTAGCAAGCAAGGTGCACCGAATCAGGTAAGAGAAAGTCACCCGCCTATGAAGTTGTCTGACAGCTGCGCTATACACAATGCGTAATGTTAGAAGTTAGAATTTTTAGGTTGACCATTGGATCAGGTCTCAATGGCTGGATGATTTATGAACACGCCTATTAACCAAAAAGTTCGTAACTCAAACTCCAGGGAATAAATATTACTGAGGAGTCCTAAACTGACTATTAAAAGCACGTGGCCGAAACAGTAAATAATAATGCTGATATATTGTAGCTTGAGATTACACTAGGTTAAAGGGGTAGGGAGAGCATAATAATTAACGTGAAAATACGAAACGATTATGTCAATGATCAGATAATAGTAGGTCAGGGTAAAGAAAGAGGATGAATGTTTTTTTCGCACAGAAAGGTAAGTATATTTCTAAAAGGACTGATAAAATTAAGCGGGATAGAGTAAGATAAGGCTTTATTTAAGAGTGCAGTTTATAAGCAACATATCTTTGGCATAACCATTGCATAGTCCCCTGCTTAGAGTGGAAACGCAACAGAATTGACCTGCTTATATTAAACCTCGCTTTGCCAGTACGACTTCATTCGCAGATATTCAACACAATGTAAACGACTTAATTCATGACAGCAACTGCTTTGGTTTAACTACTTTCAAATTCACTTTTCTGGGTAGGTAAGACGTGGAACTTTAGTGATTAATTAGCAGAATGCTCGACAACCACGCAGATGGCCTTGGTTTTACCCCAGGTAGATGTACACTTAAACCTATCAAAGTTGGTAGTTGATGTGATGGAGATGGGGATTAGGTATAAGGCTAACAATCCTATCCCATACGAACAACACAAGTACTACTGAGACTCCTGGGCTTTAAGCTTGAAACCCTACTTACCACTTGGAATGCAAAGTAATGAAAAAAGGATATACATCAATATACGTTCAGAAACGTTTCATTGTGATACAAAGCCCTGATACCACTTCTATTGGTTGCTCAGTCGCTGTGCAAAATTCTGAAGTATATACGCAGAATATTATTTTAGTACTCTTCCAAAGATACTTTTGAATTTGTTAAGTACATAAAATATTTCAATGCATACAAAAACATATTCTACCACTGAATGTAGAATTTCTATAAGAATATGCCACTCACAGAGACAATCCGTTTCCTGTACCTGCATTAGGATAACTTAATACTTATAGGATGTAATACTAAGGTTATATTTTAATGATGAGATCCACTTTGCATATCTTGAAGTTATTACAGTGTCGCTCTATATAGGTTCTAGAAAGTGGAAGTCTTAAGCCAATGGTGGATTTGCCTTTGTGAAAAAAATGTATACTGAGAATAATTTTTAGCTGACTACGGAAGCGTGTACTCAAATTATTTTCTACAAGTGTGCAATGACTGAAATTCTACGGTTAAATTCGCCGTAGAAATAGAAGTCTAGTCACCAGTAATTGATTTAGAACTGAATCGATGAGATAACACTCTTTAGTGAAGCACCATCTACAGATAAGCTTTATAAACGTATGTTTTCCAAGTGAACAGTTGCCTTAAATGCTGCTCACAGTTTTCAGAGAAGATGAATCTACATTAAAAGGAAAATCGTAGACAAAAATGGTTATTTTAGAACAATTAATAGATATGAGAATTGGATAAAATTGGGAGATATTTCCCTCCTGACTACATTATCTTGAAGAATTTCTCTCTGGTAGGATTCATCAGATATGTACAGAAGATACACTTGCATTTGAGGAAACAATACTTAGAGTTATACTGGTTGAAAATAGTTATATAAAGAAGTCAGCACAACAAGCCCCATTCTTTATCTCGCTGTTCAGAAGGATGTGCGTCAGTGGCACTGTGGTTAGGACTCTCGCCGACCATGCACATTGTCCGGGGTTCGAGCCCACGCCGGCGCACACCTGATATCTATGGTCGGCCTGCAAAATTTGGGCTACCGATATCCATGCTGAAAATTCCATACTTGTACCAAAAATACAGTGTGGAATCAAGCTGTAATCAAAAATCAAAAATTTTTAAAAAAATAAGATTAAAAATTAAAAATGTATATGTCAGATTAACTTACATGGATGATCATAGCATTTTCAGGTCAAATAAAGTCGAAAATCGATATGCGAAAACTAAAAGCTTGATAGAATAACCGGAAAAGACAGAACTTAAAGTGAACATATGGGAAACAGAAGTGATTATGATACCTAACGTAAACACTACAGATAAGCAACAGTCACTGTCAAATTTGAGGGGCTAACCTCTTTCACTTATTTAAATAACGTCGTCCCGACCACGGAAGATATAGATTAGGGTTTTAAAAACAAGATCGGAAAGCCCACACAAACCTTCATCAATAGGAAAACAGTTTGCAAATCTGTCGCAGTCAGAATAAGGAAAAAATTTCGGATCCTAAACGTTGACGTCATGTTAGTGTTTTCGTATGGTTTGGAGATTAGGCGCGTTCCTAATGGCAAGTGCAAAAGGTTCCAGACTTTCATTCACATCTTCTCCCTTCTCTTTATACTGAACACTAGATGGTCAGCCAGAAAGGATAAACCATAAGGGACTTTGACAAAGAATCCACCAAGAACCTGCCACCTCTCGTGAAAGAAACGGCGGTGGATTAGACGTGAATTAACGAGACCCTTGAGTGACATTACATGCCATAAAGGACCTCCAGTGGAACTCGAATAGTAAGCATCAAGTTTTGCTTTTGACCAACAGCTGCATGGAGGGGATCATATAAAGAGTAGATAATAGCTCATAGGCGACTGTGGAGTCAACTTAACATGATTGCAAAGAACAGAGTGAAATGGTGATGGCTACTGAGACCCAATATTCAACTCAGAACCCGAGGGAAATATAGCGCACTAATAACTTTGCTGGTGGAAGGATTCAAAACATCCCTGCTCTGTCATTTTCTCTAAACCAAAAAGTTGTTCAATTTATTACAAGTAATAAATTTCGTTTTTCGGTTTCATAACATTAATAATACAGCTTGTAGGAAAACTTGTAGCATAGTTTATTTCTTTATATGATAAATTTAATTATTGAACTGCCAGAAAAATCTTAATTTCGATGGTAATATTTCAATAAATTCACGTTTATTGTACGCTTTATTCGTTTCCCTATGATGGCTGGTTTACATCGTTCATCCATGTTATCTCTTTTAGCAATGACTGACAGTAGTATATTAGCTGGGGGAAACAATGAATACATGTTTTATAATTGACTGATTAATAGAATTCTGAAAGAGGGCGTCAAATACATACCGAGAGAGAGAGAGGGGCAGAGAGTATTGTGTACATATTCCAAGTATATTAATGTCCATTAACAGGTCTAGAGAATATGTTGAACATACTCATACAAAGGATTTTGATTAATTAATTGTAGTAACAAATATACTTTCTGTGTTACTGCTTTGAAGCTGAGTCTGATGTCACATATAATTTGGAATGGAATTGAAAATGACATGCCAACAGACACTGAGAGCTTCGTCAGTTATTTTTTTGAATTATTATTCCCTTGGATTGCGAGTGAAACATAGGACTTCATCAGCACCTTTCTATTTCATTATGTTCTCATAAGTTTTTCTAAACTGACTGTATGATTGATAGTAAACTTTCATCTCTTCTTACGATTTCTTCAGTTTCATCATTGGTCCCACGCCCAACTTGTAGTTTCCTATGTGGGCTCCATTTGAGGGCTAGCTTGGCGAGAGATGTCACTCGAAAGTCTATCGAGCTCAACAGATATCCAATCCACCAACTTTGGTTAATTTGCTAGGTGAAGGTTTCTCTGTTAGTTCATGCCCATAGTTTTTAGTTGCACATACTTTCTAGCCATCTGATATTAGATAGTGAGCGAAGTGTTTTAAAATACGTTTTCGTGACATATGGAGCAATTCTGTTAACCCATACAGAACTGCTGGTTTGACATTAGTGTTGAGAATCCAAATCTTGTTTCTTAAATTGACTGCAGCACATTTTCGCCCTGATTTCAGACTTATAAAGAAACGTCTTACTTTCGAGATCCAACTTTTGATTTGAAACTGCAAAAAACAGAAAGCGCCATCTAAAATCGCAAATAAATTTCGAAGAGCAAACATAATCTCAGAATATTTAACAATTCATCCATAAACTCTAACCACCGTAATACTATTGGATTCTCCGATACATTGCTTCAACTTATTAAGTATTTAGGAGATGAAGGCGATAACATATATGCAAACTACGATGTATACCAGCGGAATTACTTATATCCACAAGTCCTGCAGTATCTGTTCTGTATAGGCCGAAGGCTAAACGAAGCATCAAATTGATCGTCCATAAAACGAAACGTATTGCAGGTTCAAAATCGTAGTGCAACATTGACTGCTTAGCTAGCATGGGATCGCGTATAAAGAAACGAATATAACACACAACAGCGTGCCAAATGGCGTGGATGATTGGCCGCGAACCTCCAGCTTAACCAGCAGACTGTAGGTTAATAATTTCGGGGAATTATTTGCCGCTGCATGTATAGCGAGTATTTAGGAGTTTACGCAGCAATCAAAATTATAAACGATGAATATCAACTTGTATTTAATTCTGAATTGAATTTTTGATTTCAATTCAATAATTAATATGACCCGTTGCACAAGAGGTGGCTCTCGTGACCCAAGTGGTCTAGTGGATAACGCTTTGGCGTTTGAAACTATGGGCACTGGGTTCGAGCCTCGGTGGGAACATCATCACTCACTGAGAAATGCAGGTACATCCAGCTGACGAGTCTCAAATAGGACGAAATGCACATCCTGGATTCCACTGCTAGCCACCATCCACCAATTGTATGTATTTAATTCTATTTATAAACCTTAAAATTATCTTACGATAGCAAAATTAGAATTTAAGAACCAGTAATTATTTTACGAAGCTGCTATATTATCAAAAGCCATATTTTGAAACAAATGAACCTAGGGAGTGTGAAGCAAACAATATGAAATTAAAAAGACCAAGTGACGATAAGACATTCTGGATTTTATTTGATAGGCCTGTATTCGGGATTTGCCCGTCAGATATAATTTCATTTTTTTTAATGATAGTGTTAACAGTCGAACTCCAACACAGAATTCACTGTTTCAAGCATCGGATCAATAGCTACCAGACTGTCGAGTAATGAGATCCATCCGCTGTAAAATAGTCATCAGTAAGTATGCATTGGAATATTGAATTTTGCGATATTTATCTTTACTGGACTGCAGTAGTCAGTCTAGTTTGTATGAATTATTTAAAATTACATGTACAGTTTTACGAAGGTTACATGGATAAGTGGAAGTGCAACAGTCCGTGATTCCGTCAAAACCTACTACTGACATGCAAACTCTCCCTATAATAACATGCTAGAATGGTGGGTCGTTATCTCTTAATCGTCTCATAAACGGTGATTAGATTGACACTTAAACACACAGATTCTCCTTGAAGTAAATTATGTTGGTTATAGGATTCTATGAATATTGCATTATCAAACAATTTACTTTATTTCACGAACTAACTTCAACTAACCAAATCCTTGCAAAACGACACTCAAAAGTTCGGTCTACCCAATATCAAAATCCCAGTGAAATCTGGATAACCAGACAGATAATAAAACTCAGTTATACAACTGCATATCACCATACAAACACATGCAACAGTGTTGGAAACAGTGAACGTTTTGAAATCTGATATAACATGGTGAAAGGAGAGGTAGACTATGGAAGGATTCCTTATCATATAAACTGAGAACACCTATAATATGATAAAAACGTACCCGGTATACGAGCTCGCCTTGTAAGCAGAAAGTCCTGGGTTCGAACCCAGATGGGTGCGTACTAATGAAAAGTCCCAAACTTGGACGAAACAGCTGTCCGGTATTCACAGGTCTTCCAATGACTCTCTAACCAATTCCAGCTCATGATGAAATCCTGTAACCAAATACCCGGAATGTCTTATGACTCCTAAGAAAAGTAAATGAGGAGAACCAAAAGCGTTAAAAGCGAATTTCAAGGTTGTAAAATTATATTTGACGTGACTATGAATGTTAAATCCCATTGGAAACTTCATACTTTGAAGAAACTAATTTGAAAATTTATGAAGACATATGTTGATGTACCGTATCAAAATTCAATTAAAATGAGACTAAATGATGCTTAAACTCAAGGCAGCTGTTGATAAAACTCTGCGGTAGCCTGCCGGAAATGCTCTGTATATGTTCCATATAGAAGAAGCGATTTCACATTTGTGTTGAAAATCCGAGTCTTGTTCGTTATGCTAACTACGTGCGATAGATTTCCAAACTAGTTTCAGGTTGATGAAGACCTGCGTATCTTGCCTTTCCGATTCTTACTGGTAGGCTTTGACACCGTCATTCTTTCTGGCTGCCTTTGGTTGAAACCTTGCTTCCTTGACAAGTGAATGAAGTGACTTCTTTGGAATGTCTCTCGTTGATGGTAATCGGTGCACGTCGCTTGTTTGATTTGTTTTTCCTTCTTGGTAATCAGGTTCCCTTGTGCATCCTTTATTGTTTTCATCATTTGTGTTGATCTCTTCCAGGAGAGAGACGTGGCTATTTGACATAATGTCCTTAGCCATCTTTTACCTACCACCCGCCTGTTCTGCTTCAATTGCCGGCCAGTGCGTTGTAGAACTGTCTTTTGTCCCTCCTAGCATTCTTCATCGGCTCTGTTTTTATTCAGTACAGTGAATATTGAACTCAGCTTCTCTTTCACCATCCTCCTCTCTCCTCTTCTAGTAGCTTTCAGGTAGGTGTCAGTTGACGGTCATTCCTTGTCTTGTATCTTCTTTCTTTCTAGAACAGTAGTTGTCTCTGACTTTGCTCTGCAGTGAAGATTTTCTCAGTGGTTTCGTCTTTTAGTTTCTGGGTATTAAAACTGAGTTGTAGTCTTCCTGCCCATTTGCTTTAAAGGCCTTTAGCTTGATACTGAGGTGTACTATTGTCAGATTGAACATATTTAGCTATTTCAAACATTCCCATAAATCTCTTAATCAATGATACTTTCAATCTATTGATACAAAAATGTCAGAGAATGCAATCAATTATCTCTATGATAACAATAATGGAAGTGCATCTAACTTCGAATTTTGTTGCGACAATTTTTTTTATTTCATTTTATCAATTTTTTTCTTGTCAGCTCAAGTGCACTAAAAATATGAAAATATTATTTATTGTACATGCATCAGCTTACCATTTAGTATGAGTAAATTGTCTGTATACAAAGAATAATGCACTGGATATATGTATTTCTCATTTTACTCCTCATTTCACAGAGACTTTCAAACGCTCAATATAAAATTAACGGGGATGCGCATGATAGAAGTGGCTCCATGAAAACAGATGGTGCTAATGTTGACGAGGAATCTGATGGTGACAATGAAGACGAACAGGAGATTAGTGATGAAAAAGATGAATATGACGCTGAAGCTTATGGATTAGAAGACCATTTGGAAGGTAAAATCTTCACAGATACAGGATCCTATAAACCAGCTAGAACAGACAGAAAAAGAGACAAAAAGACAAAGAAGGTCAAATCAAATAAACATCCATACAAACCAGATAATTCAGAAGATGGCAATAATTATGACAAGAATGCTGATTCTAGCTATGCGTATAAACCTAAAAAGCGCAAGAAATCGAAGAAGCCTAGACGTAAAGAAATAGATTATGATACAGGGAAGAATGATGCAGAGTCATACAATGATGATTATGAATATGATTATAAACCAAAGGAATACAATTATGAACCGAATGAGAATAATGACAATGATGACCGTCCACGAGCATACAAACGTAAAAAGTCGAAGAAAGTGAGGAAAAGCAGAAAGGGAAAAAGAAGAAGACAAGGTGATTCAGAATCTAAATATTCTAAAACATACGATTATGATGATGACGAGGAGGAGGATGGTGATGATGATTACAAACCAAGGAAACGGCGTAGGAGTCCCTCGAAGAAAACTAAAAGGACAAAGAAAAAGTATACACCAGATTATAGTTACACTTATGATGAGTATGCTGATCGTTACAATAATGACAACCCCGAAGTAAATAACCAGAACGATGAAGATGACAGTAAGTCTGATGGCTCTAGTGACAACGAAGCTGAATAAACATAATAATACATTTCCTGACATCTTCTGGAATATTTATTTTCTGGCAAGAATCTGTAACGTGTATGTCTAATATGTTTAATAATCAAGAAAAAAGCTTATCTGAATACCTATGAGTATTTTGTTGAATATTGAAAGTGTTTTGCAAAAAGAGATAATCACATACATATAGATGTGTTGTGTAAGATATCATTTAGCCATTCGATAAATGTTACCTTCAGGATGGTGTACCCACGCTGTCGCATTAGATTATATTGCCTTTCTTGGAACCAAGCTGAAATATTCACTGATGTTGACTTTAAACTAGTGTAGATCTAGTAGCTTTACACATTTACGGCCAGGTAGGCTATTTTGACCACGGTAATAAAGTATGGAGTATTGCTTATTAAAACTGTATATGAAGCATTTCCACAGGTGTAGTTCCAGGGTCGTTCTTCAGTTTTTATTCATTATATAATAATCGAAAGAAATTACTGAGATCTACAAGATATTTGCAAAACAAAATCTGTAGCGGATTTTTATTTAACTACTTGATAACTTGATGATTTCCCGCGAATCACACTTTTGAGATGCAAGCAGCTGCAAGTGTTCCTGCCTTAGAAATCACTTCACGCGTTTTCTCTAATTAAAGATATTGTAGATATGCTTGAAAATATAACACTATTATGGTAGGTATTGACTGTAAGTTACTTCGGCACACTTATCGGCCGCTCAACAGATACTGAAGCAACCGAGATGTGTGTTTAACGACAATATTAATAGCTTTATTCTGAATATTGTCTATATAATGTATAGAATTTTCAGGATCTTCAAATAAAAGATCAACTGATAATAGGTTGTCTGACAGAGTTCTATCTGACCTATAAACGCAAACCAATCCATTCTGACATCTCTTCTTTTTATTCGTGGAGAAATACACGACATTTTGTTGAAAGCCGACTATTCAAACGTCAGGAGCATATTTCGTGAACCAAGGACACTTTTCAGGAAGGGTCATTTCATGTACTGGGATAAGCTGAAATCGAGGATAATACTTGTTCACATGTTTAACAGAAACTTGCAAACTGACAGGTTGTAAATGATTCAAATACTCACCAAAGCAAACAAAGTATTAGAGGTCACACTTTACTAGATTTAAACAAACTGAATGAGAGAAATTATATGCCATATACTGATGGTGGTTTTAGGTAGCCAAGTTTTTAAGCAGGCAGCTAATTTCAGGTTTTCTCTGAGCAAGAATATTTAGGGACGAAGCTTTCATTGTCTTCCAGCACAACATATTCACCTTCGGGAATTTTCCTGTTTTTCCTAACTCGGACTGTGTGAACCTGTACGTTTGTTACTGCTATGGTTACTCGTTTCACGTTTAGTCACTAATTAATGCTAGTCATACATCCATTGAAAACTAGGGAGTACTAAACAACGTCTTCGTCCTTGTTTGAGAGTCACTGGCAGTGTGCGGTCAGCATGGTTCTGACCTAACTCTTTCCAGTTATACGGCAGGCTCGTAGACCATCAAGACACTGGTATTCGACTCAGTGGCCAGAGCTTGAATTTTTACTTTCCAAAATTTGTGATTTTAGAGCAACTCCCCAGACGATGTAATAGATGAGTATTTGTCCTCATCCCTGACCGGATAGTTTTGAACTCCGGTGGGTACGTGCTGATGATGAATCCAAAACTGGAACAAAACAGCTGCGCGACAGTCTCTGGTTTTCAGTGGTTCTCTAACTGATATAGATTCGTGGTAAAACTTGAAGCAAATCAATTTCCATTAAACTAACCCATATAAATATTCACTTGTATTGGGATTAATCATCTTGGTTACTTAAAATGTATTCACTGAGACGTTGACGCTACGGATTTTATCGAGGGGGACAATTAAAGCTTTACAACTAAACTGTAAAACTCTGAGGACTAAATGACTTCTAAAGCACTTGTCAGGTAATGTTATTTTTTATAGGGTAGGACTGTAGTAGCAGTATTCTAACTCCGAATGCAGAAGAGTATCTCCCTTATAGTAACAAAGTACCAAAGGTAATGACACAAGTTAACCGATAATATTAGGTAGCACTAAGAATCTGAAAAAAATGCAAATAGTAGACTATCTAAGATTTAGACAACGAAGGCTAAAGGGATAATGTAAAAGCAAAAGGCATAACTTCACGATAAGTCGTTTATATGTTTATTTGTTAAAGAAATGAAATATGTCAAAAATAAGTAATGCAAAGGGCGACTTTAAAGGTGACCTTCTCCTTCTTAACTCTTGTTATATTTCTTGTTTGATAAGTAAAGCAGAAAACTGATATTCTGAAATATAGGACTGCTGCATTTGCTTAGATCACGGGATAACAGCTGCGTCCTATGTGATCTCGGAGTGATGTCGAACAATAAAACTGAAACCTACGATTAAAATCGACAGTATAACAGAATCTTCGTAACATGCCAAGTTCCATTCCCCATAAGTAATTAAAAAAAAACTGTAAACGGCAATCTGTACAATATACATTATTAGTCCATATGTGGTACCAGAGTTTAGTAATATACAGTCGTTACATTGCATATCGTTTTCCTGAAAAAATAAATAAATTATTGTTTAATTATTATGCATGACTGATATCACCTGCTAATATAGTAATACTTTGATTCAAACAGTGCTAATGTGGAAATGTCTAAGTTTAGAATCCTGCTTTTGAGGGTGTAAAAGTTATTGAAGTATCGATTAGAAAGCATACAAGTAAAGAGCATAATTTGCCATCATATGCTACAGTGAATGTTCTTCTTTCAAAATACATAAATTCCGAAAAAACAAAGTTCACTGATAATACAGTTAGATGGATGGTTGAAGAAAAGTATTTCTGAAATTTGATAATGATTTTCCTCAGCTTTCGCCTAATAATCAACATATTAATGTCATATTAGAATGCAAAGTCGGAAATCGGCATGAGACACCTAAAAATAATTGGTTTACTACTGAAGAATCAAAGTGGGATCTCTTACTAGTTTAAATCATTAGGAAACATGAGATAGGAAAGCAGAATCCTTACAGTTCTGAAATAGACAAGCTTCTGTATTGTGGAGGGAATAACTGAATGAATTATGAGGCCGAACTCGCAGTTCGGAAAAAAAATATTATCAGTTTGCCTAAGTGTTCGAGTGGCTTTAATTGATGTGACTCTTTGTGCTAAGTCAAACCGAGCACACAGTCAAAGAGGTTGGACTTAAATGACCAAAACAGGTATTCGGTGTTTAGATCACTTCTATCTCGCTGACTAGAAGGCATTGTTGACCGGTGTTTGTGGTATCCAACTACTTATACCTATAAATTAGTAGTATATATATGATTTAATAAGTGTAAAATATTCCCATATCACGAATTAAAAGTCAATATGAACGAAGAATATTCTTTTCAATAATTTCTCTTCAGGTTCTTACAATTATAAAATATAATATAATATATTTTTTACAAATGTCTACTTCTCACTCGGCGCCCAAATATTATAGAACTATTCTGTCAAATCTTGACTACAGTTCATTTGATTTATTTTGTAATCGAATTAAATTAGCAGAGAAACTATGTAATTGGCACAATCATCGTGTTTCCACTCTCCGTTGTCTGCAGCAGAATGCGTATCCTAAATTCGTAGCTGTCCAGTCACCTGACAACTTCAGTAGGTCGAATAAAGCAGCTCAATTTTCAGAAAGAAGACAAATTAATAAGTTTGGCGGGGTTGTTCAACTGAACTCTAATCCTAAACACCATAATTTTGAAAATACATCTAATCATAAAATTCTAGATACTAACAGTTTGAACAGACATGAAGGTGTGATGTTAGATGACGCATAGGAAATCCTGATTAATAAATAAGAATGGATATGTATCACTAACTAATAATATTTGGTCAAAGTTTCCCGACTGTCTATATCTACTTATGGAGACGTTAAGACATTGTTTTACAACTGTTTATCCGCACACACACACACACACTGTGTTTAAAGTGTTTAACAAAGGTAGATCAATATTTGTAAGTCTGAGGTCAAATTTTGATCACAACTCGTACAATTTTGTTTATTATACTTGTTAATATTTGTTTTATAAATCATGATTGGACAAAGTTTTTCAAAACTAAAGATGTTCCTTTTATATATAAACCTGTTATGTTAATTTCGATTAATTTCCCTGAAGAAGTTCGGACCAGATTGCCGAACGAAACGTTGGAATTACTCATTTCAATATCGCTGAGATTTTACAAATATAATTTTTTACAAATTTAATATTTACTGTTGTTACAATAATGGCCAGTTTTGCGGCGGATACTTTTTTTTCGTAGAATAACAGATTAGTAGTTATGATGGTGTCAAAATAAGTGGCATTTTTTGTGACAAACGTGATAGGCTGATTTCGATTATTAAATATTGTAAAGTAGAGACAATGGTGGTGATTAGTCATAATAGATTCATAGAATGTGGGGTAGGAAAATTGACAAGTCAGTTCAAGGTTATAAAAGGTGTCAGGTGAGTGACTGGTTAGTACAAAGTGGTCTGTATGAAAGAGGAGATAGTAAGACTGTAATGAGAGGTTAAAAATGAAATAACGAATGCGTGAGATGAAACAGGTGGAGGCATATACTGAGAAAAAAGATAATATCAGTAATAATAAGTCCGGATAGTTTAAATGGAAAATTCTGTAGTATTGAGAGAATGTTTACATGAAGGGCGTAAATTATGAAGAATAATAATAAAAATGTTATTATATGCAAAGTGCGTCGGTGGCATAGTGGTAGAATGATCGCCAACCCCGCAAGTGGTTCGGAGTTCGATATCTCACCAACAAACTCCTTTAGCTCACTAAGCCATTTATAAGACTGGTAAAGAGAGGAAGTTGGGCAAGAGGCTAGCAACCCCATCCCGTGAAAATAAATTCCACTTCTACCGAGACTTCAAGCCTCTAGCTTGGAGCCCTATGTTCCACTGGGAACGTAAAGGAATAAAAGAAGAAG